ATTTTTTTTTTTAAGAACTGTTTTTAAAAAGCCTGTGAATTTTAATATTTAAAAACATTTTTGGGGTAATTTTATGTCCCCAAGTTTTTTTTTTGTTCTTTCTTTTCATTAGAAGATAATTTGTGCTACCTATGATGTGGAAAATGTGGTCACAAAATCATAATAGTTGTAGCTATTTCACAAGTGTTGATGTTTGTTGTGTCCTAATCATAACTGTGCTGGAGTAAAACATTTTTTTTATTGTTAAGGAACTTTTGTGTACCACATGCTCTCAGCATTCCATTACTTAATCAATATTATACCAAGATTTTATTTCAGTAATGGATGGCATTTTTTCAAAGTTAAGTATATATCTAAAATATTTTATCCTTGAGCATGTTTGATTTTTTCTTCTATTCAGTGTATGATATTCTGTCTGGGAAAATAGTACGCAAGTTGGAAGGCCATTCTTCTTGTGTTCGTGATGTTTCATGGCATCCATATAAGAACACCATCATTAGTACTTCAGTAAGAAAGAAATTATATATTTAAATTTGTATTCATATATAGTACAAAGCAGGGCTTTTTTTGTAATGGTACACACCGATACTGCTTGTTAGCACCTTTTTGAATATGGGGAAAAACATTATTATTTTTCTTGTATTTTAACATAATGTTAAAAGCCCTACACTAAAGAAAGAGTGTGAGATCCTCGCGAGAACAGGCATTCCCAGTATCTTTACGATCCTCAGGCAATGATGCCTGCCCTGACTCAGACATGTTTGATGGATGGAGGACAATCGCATCCCAAAAATCATTCTGTACAGGCAACTTGCATCTGGCTCAAGAAAAACTGTTCGCCCCACCTCCATTACGTTGATGTGATAAAAAGGAATTTAAAATCAGTAAACATTGATACTGACCATGGGAAGACATAGTCTTAGACCACACTAGTTGGAGAGAGACAGTGACCAAGAAAGCTATAGACAGCGAGAAAACACGGGCCTCGATTCTTGAAGAAAAGCGTGCCACAAGGCCAGCTCCTCTACCACCAAAGCGAAATCTACCTTGACTTACAATTTATGTGGACAGGAGTGTCTCTCCAAAATAGGACTCCACAGCCATATGAAAAAGTGTTTGAGATGAACCATAGTTGTTTCACAACTGAAGGAGGCTAATGGTGATGATGATGATTTTAACGTATATTATTAATTTATTAGTAGTTAAAAGTTGGCAATTAATCACTGAGTAACGGCACCTAATCACTGCGTACCAGCACCTATTTTTTTTTTAAAAAGCACTGTATATAGTATATCCTAAGTAGACAAGATACTTCAATTCTTTGTTAAGTTTTAATTTTTTTTTCAATGTACTGGGTATAAATCATTTTTAAAATTCTGTTGTTTTTTTTTCAGTGGGATGGTACTTTAGGCATGTCAGATTTCTGTGATTATAATGCACAAGACATGGAGCCAGATGAAGAAGAGGTCAGTTCATGTCATTTTTTTATGTTGATGCAAGAGTAGATTCAAAACACTTTTAAAGTGAGGGGTGTCATGGTAACTTTACAAAAATAAAAATGATGACCCCCCCCCCCCTGTTTTTTTTCCCAAAACACAAAAAAATATAAAGAAATTAAGTTTTATCACTATTTCATATTCAAATAAACAAGACTCTTGATTAGTAAAACACAAAATTTAGAGACACTGAGACACTAGGATAAAAATGATCTTTTCTATCATGGAAACACTCCCATAGTTGATAGTTTTTAAAACGTGGTTTCTTTTCATTTATTTCTTATGTTTTTTTTTTAATTTCTCACAGTCTGATATTGAATTGTTTCCCTTTTAAAAAAAAAACATCCATATTTTTTTTTATTTGACATGTTTCAGATTGTAGTGACATTGGTTAATGAGCACTAATTTCCCATTTTTTTACTTTTTCAATGTTTTTAATTCTTCTTTTTGTGAACATATGGTTAGATTTTTTTAAAAATTCATTCAATTAGGATCAACAATCTATGACTTGTTCTGTTTAGCCTAGATCTAGATGATCTGCTTAGAGATATAGTGTCATCGTGTCGCAACATATATATTGACAACTAATAAATCAACTGTAGCAGAAATAAATTTTATGGGTGCCACCATTTCTGGTACTGCCATTTACCATGAGTCAACAGTTGTACATGATTTTTTTATTTGCAATTTAAGGTATATGAGTCTATAGTACAAGTGCTTTAGTGCAAGATTGATAAATTGGGTTTGCGAGACAAAAAGAAAAGAAATATTGAGATTCCAGGTTTGAAAGGTCTCGTTCAGTTGAAAATTAGCTAATACAATTAGATTAATACATGAATAAGCTAAGAACAAAATTTCTTAAAGATATAGTAAGAAGTAAAACATTTATGTAGTTTCTTTTCCTATTAACAATTTTTTTCTTTTTTTTGGTCCTTGCTTTTGTAAGCCTTGGGTTTTTATTTGACATTTTTACTTAATTCTGTGTTTCTATTGTATAGTGTCCAGAGTTCAGGTATGAATAAAGTAGAGGTATAAACATTTTGCAAGTGTGGTCTTGGTTTCTGAGTTAATTTTGAATTCCTCAAGAAGGAATCTGTCAAGAAGTTTGCCTTCTCTATGTTCTGCTTTCAAAGTCCCCTATTTTTCTTTTTTTTTTTTTATTTTCTTCACATACTAAATTAGCAGCCAAAAAAAAAAAAATACAATCTTTTTTTTTTCTCTTAGGTAACCATATTGTCTAGAGGCAGTCCAAGATTTGCGACTAAACGCATTAAAAGAACTAGAGAGACTGCTTTTCCAGGACTTTATGATTGAAAAAAAAGGTTAATGTACAAAGTAACATAATCAGTTACATCTGTGTTAAACACCAAGAGCTTATGGTGTAAATATTTACAAGATATCCAGGATGACTGGCTATTTTTGTATTCCTCAAATAACATTCATACATATGCAATTTATATCTAGTACTGTTTGTCATGAGATTAATGTAAAGTTGACCCTTTATTTTTTGTTTTGCATCTCTATAAATCTGAACAGGGATTAGTTAACTGCTAATTTTAGACATTGATGATTGTAACAGTTGGACATTTGAAATCTACAATTTTTTTTTAACTTCAGTTTAAAGGATATAGGTCTAATCTTGGAGGTGACTGAATGAAACATTATTATTGATTTTTACTATTGTATAAACAAAATTCATGCAGTGAACAATTAAAATGCCAAGCATGAAATAATTGTTCTAAGCGAAAAATAATTTGGGGAATATGGGTATATTTGTCTTTCAGTGAATATACTTTCTTTTTTTTTTTTTATAATCAATCTTATCTTGTATCATTTGTTTATTTCTTTCTATTTTGTTGGTTATAACCTTGTTTTATCTTCTAAGCTAGAGCAGTAACAAAAATATCAAGAATATATATTGATAACTATCTTACAATCTCCAATTCAGTATACAGTCTGTGCCTGTTTGTATCTAGTGGTATGTGTAATATTAATGTAGATCAACATAGACTAATGAATCATAAATAATACATTTTTTTCTCAAAAGATTACATGAACATCCTTGTATAAGGCATATTGAATAATAATTCATTATAAGTTTAGTGGTAAGATGTATATTTGTAAATAAATTATAATATACATCTTGTTGTATTATTACTGTGTAAAATGTTGACCACATTGTTAAAATTTATTTTCTTTTTGTTGAATTGATTTCTGACTCTGTTAAAAGTTCTGTTTTGTGTCCTGTGCATCATCTTTGTTAATTGTTAAGTGCCTTGAATCCCCAATAATATCCTCATGTGTTAAAACAGTTTTTATTTGAGATGTTAAAGCTTAGGGAGTAAAGTTCACTTTAAGAAAATGGCTAATTGGTGTGCTTTGTGCACTGTCTGCTTTTACTTCTCTTAGTTGGAAGCAGTAACCCATTTGAAACTGTGAACTCCCAGTCTCCACCATACCTTCAACCTCTAGATCTTTGGGCCATGTTATCTCAAGTAATAAATTGTATTGACAGTTCTAAGATTGTTAACATACAGTGAAAGAACTCAATACTGTGGTTTCTCATGAGCAGAACATTGTTTTCACATTAACCATCTTCTAATTCACAAAATTGTTTCCTCAATAAAAGTTATATTAAAAAAGGGTTAAAACTATTAGTAAATTTTATCTTCTTTTTTCACATAAGTAAGATGAACACCATAATATATATTTTTAACTTTTGCTTTTAGCAAACCAGTAATAGCCTACACTAATCAAGATCAGTATATCTAAAAAAGATAGTTTGTTTTGTCTGTGCTTTTTTTTTAATCAATATTTCAGTAATAGATAAGTCTTGATTTAAAACAAAAAGTGTTGGTGAATGATGTATAGATGTTTTCCCACTCGCATTGCATTTGGGGGTTCTTTTCACCACAAGTTCAAAAAGTCAGTAGATAGTAAAAAATTATTGTACAGATAAAAAAAAAGTACATTGTAACTTTGATGAATAAGATTGCAGAAAGGAGCACTTTTTAAATTTTATTGAATTTTTGTGTACAATCTGATTCATTCTTATTTGAATACCCAATAACTTGCTTTAAAACCTTACGTTAATGAGAATTAAATATCTACCGTGACTATATATTTTCAATCACATATCTTTTTAATTTATTTATGTGCAACTTGGAGAGGAAATATATTTCACACAAAAAAAATCATACTCATTAGCCCTGTTCACTAAAGAGTTGTAAGTTGAGCCAGTGTTGTATTCAAACTTAGTGTTGTTATTATCTTGTAAAAACTTTTTCTTCCTCCTTAGTAATGCTGCTACTTACTATATTACAAGAGTTGTTTTAATGTTTCTTTTTAATACACTGTAACTTTTGGGAGTGTGATTACAAAAAGTTTGTGTGGTGGATAAAGAAAGTAAAACTATTTATTTTCTTTTTGAGTGTGTTTTCATTTTTTAGTCAGAAAAGGTTGGGGTTTTTTTTGTTGAATATGATTTTATATTTAGGATCTCAGAATCAATAAAGTTTTTTTTTTTTTGGTATGATGTATCTTTAGAGTCATTAAATTCAAAAGTTTCTCAATTTTCTTTTGGAACATGTACAATGCATCTTTTATTTACAGGTTGGCCTCCTCATTCAGTTTCTATTTTTGTGGACAAGAATTGTATAGTTATGTCTTGTTCATGTGAATGTCTTTTGCTCTTGTTTGAAATATGAAACATTGTATTAAATGTTATTTGAGAATTAATTTTTCTTCTTTATTAATGAAATGTTTAATGCCAATTAGTTAACTGAAACCAGAATCAATACTCCTTACTTTCACAAGAAAGAAAAGTCAAAAGTACTAAGTAAAATATTTTGGAGCATAATGTTGGCATCATTGAGTGATTAACAAAATATAAATACAATACATAAAGTGGGATGTGTGATTAAATGGCATAAAGCTATTAGCTACCTTACATGGGGGCTTGAGTTATGTCTTCATCTAGACTGGAAATTCTGTGAGAGTTGTAATTGTGCTTCCAAAGGCAATGTACAATAACAATAGTACTAAAAGCTGTAGCCGTGTCACACATCTGACTTGTTGTTTGTTCCATTATTAAATGCTCTGGACGTCAACTGTCAGTGTAAAAAAGTATGATTGTACCACAAGATCTTGGTAATATTTTGGATCATGTCTAAATGAAAGTAATGTAATTCCAACTGATATTCATCTGGAAAATATGTACCTTGATGTCAAACCTGATAACTTCCAGTTCACTTTTGAACCTTTATTAATTAGGACGGACTTGGTGTTTCACCTGTTTGTGTGGTATTCGCTCAGCTCGATAGTACCGAGTTCATTGGCTGCCATTCCCGTCATCCTGGGAGAGATTTGCACTAAGAAGTAGATCTAGATCATCTTCAAGAAACATCCGAAACGTATCAAACGTTTTAGAATTGTATGAGCTATTTGTAAGAAGTTTTACTACTACACTTAGAGCTGCTGCCTGCTTCATAAAGTCTCCCTCCTATATTATCAAATATCCTTAACGTAGGAACAGAATCTTTTCAAACATCTTTTTTTTTTTTTTTTGTGGGCAGGGGATTTTCTACACTTTGTTTCAGCGGCCTGATGGAATCATGTGGGCAAAGGCGGACTGGCTATATGGGCATTCGGGCAAATACCCAGATGGGCCGGCCACAGAAAAGGCCGCATGGATGCCACTATGAAGGTTTTAAAATATTCTCTGATAAAAGTGACACTTTGAGAGTCGTGTGAAAAGAAAACTTAACACAGACGTTACGGTGTACTACTAATTTAATCTAACGCATTTTCCCAAATAATGTGATAGCCTACACGCGTAGACGGTGCTACTTTTAGGACCTACACACTTAAATATCAAAAAGCAACATAGGTAAGGCTTATATCGCGTAGGCATGCGTACAGTTATCGATATAATAGGAAACTAAACCTAATAATTTTGAGGACAGATAGACCTATAATTGGATGCCCGTCATACACTAGCAGATCAAGAGCTTTGAAGTGGGGGGGGGGGCGATTTTTTTTCCAAACCCTAACCCTAAGCATATACACGCGTATAGCATATATATATATATCATGAGCGTAGCGGAAACCCCCCCCCCCCCCCCCCCCCGAAATGAAATCAGTCAAATCCCCCTCTTCTATATAACAAAACCCAAAAAAAAATGCAAATGACAATCCCCAAATTCCAAGAGCATAGCTAAGGAAGATTTTGATTTTAAAACCCCATCCGAAATATACGATAAAACCCCCTCTTCAATATCCATTGGGGAAAGTGGGGTAATATGAGATACTTAACTTGTAAAATAAAAAAAAATAAGTTGTATATTCCAACTAGCTACCAATATAAAAAATGATCAACTACACATTAAAGAATATTTCTACCAAACATCAGGCCTTTTAATTAGAAACTTATGAAGATATTTTAATTTTATTTTTTTTAGTTGGTATCCCATATTACCCACCCTGTGGGGGTAATATGGGATACTCGAGCTCTGCCATTAAAACTATAAGAAATAAAAAAAACAAAAATGATTTTTTAAAAGACAAGATAAAATAAAACATTTTTAAAGAATGGAAATAATTTTAATAACAAAAAATATATTTAATCACTCTCCACACACGTCATACTCAAAAATACTGGACTCTGCCCCAGCACATTCTGTGTGGGCCCATTCACTACAAGCTACACACTGAATCCATTGTTCTCCATCTGTATCTTCTGAGAACAGGCCATTGCAATATATTCAAGGAGTGTCATCATCACCTAGGTTGGATGATTTGCCTTTTGATTTATTTCCTTTGTGTTTATTTGGGACACATTTAGAAGTGGACGGCTCACATAGTGTCTGTTTATTTGGTGAGCTCGTCAAAATAGCGATACATCCTTTGCGTCGCCCTTTCCCTTTGCTTCGTTCACAATTTGCCACCGGAAAAGGACTAATGTCAGCTGGTCCTCAGGATTTGTTAAGAGGACCCTGGTTACCAAGTTCCAAATTGGAACAGCTGGATGTCGATGGTAAATCCATCGCAGAGTTCATTTGTTGCTCCTGAATTTCATTTGATGCTACCTGTATATCTGTCGTCTCCGCTGCCTGCAATTCCCAGTCTTGAAAAATGTCTCTATTGACAGGCCAGATGCCTGTCTTTTCAAAGCCATTAACCGCTGTGGCAAGGCTGGCAGCACGAAGGTAGGCTTTGGCGAAAATGGAAGCAATTTGGAATTCTGTGATTACTCGTCCAGGATGTGACCTCAGCCACACTTGTATTTCAGAGTCATAGTACGTAGTTAGTGGTTTCATGAATGAAACATCAAGGGGCTGCTCTCTGTGAGTGCAGTGCGGCGGAAGACAAATCATTGTGATATGATTTTGTCTTGCCAGGTTTATTGCATCTAGATTTTTCAATGTGATGCATGCCCATCTAAAATTAGTAAAACTGGGTTTAACAGACTGGGCTTGACAAAGTTGATAAAATGTTGAAGCCATTGAGTGAATAAACCCAATTGAATCCACCCAGTCTTGTGACAAGCATAAATGGATCCAGGAGGTGCTCCATCCATTAGCTCCATCTTCATCCGCTGGCGAGGAAAGATGAACATTGGTGGTACATATTCACCAGCCGCACTCATGCAAATCACTGTTGTTACTGTCCTTCCTCTTTCAGCTGATAACAGGACTCCAATTTGTTTTTTTCCTTTTAGTGCAATAATTTTTGCATTATTAGATTGCACTGTTGTGATGCCTTTCTCGTCAACTTTATAGATTTGATTTGCTTTATATTTCTTTAAATCAACTTCTTTTTCCTGACGATCAAAAAAATTCCCAACATTGACTTTGTTAAAGGCAGTGGCTCGAGCAGCGGAAGTTGATTCTGGACTAAGTAAAGAAAGTTCTGGGTGCCTACATAAAATGATATTAGCCAGTCTTTGCCTGCTATTTCATTGTTAATGTTGAAGTCAGTCTTGATATTGTTCATTTTAGCTAGCTGATAAGCCATTCTTCTCACATCAGTGCTAGTTAAACCAAACAGTCTAAATCAGAAACCATGGGCGTAGCCAGGATTTTTTTCGGGGGGGGGGGGGGGGTTGGGGGATCCCCCCCCCCCCCCCCGCGTGGAAAACAATTATATATATGTGTGTGTGTGCGTACATAATTAATCTTTATTACATTCTTTCGGAAGACGTTTATTATGCCCTAGAATAGATTCTTCCTGGAATTAGTGGAAAACTTGTAGACTCCCCGCCCTTGCTAGCAAGGGAGTCTGGGGGAGCTCGCAGCGCTCCCCCAGCGCGGGGCGAAGCCCCACCGCCGAGCACTATTTCTGATATTGAAAGCCAACAAAATGAATATTCTGAAGTATCTACAGTGCATTATCTTGCTATTAACAAGTTTTATTTCAAAAACCTAATGTGCTATTCTTACTGACTTAGACACTCCCGCGCCGTTCGGCGCATTTTCCGACAAGCTGTTTCTGCAACTCTTATTTTACGTAAATCATTTTGTCGGAGAACATGTCCCGCAAAACCTCATGCGACGCTCACAACCTTACTAAATTCGACATATGATTTCTTTGATTTAGACCCGATCTCTATAACTGACTCCTAAACTCTGTCTTAGCCATCTTTGTTGAGCCACATTTAGTGTTTTTCAATTTTGGCAGAAGACTATTCACACTTTATTAATGAAGCCCAAGCCACTGGTAGAAATTTGTAACTTTTCTTGACTACGCTCTTGGAATTACATGCCTGTATTTCGCTTTAGATTTTATATCGAATAGGAAAGTTTTTTTCGCCAAAATCATCTGTTGAGGGGTTTTAAACTAAAAAATCTCTGGCGTTTTTTTTTTTTTTTTTTTTTTTTTTTTTTTTTTTTAAATTCAAAACCCCATTTAGCTACGATCATAGACTTTGGTGACTGTAGTTTGCTTTAAAATAATATTGAAGAGAGAGGTTTTCAACTCTAAACGCTCTGTAGGGGAGTTTTAAACTCAAAACCATCTGGAGGGGTTTTAAACTTTAAAGAAAAAGCCATGTGGAGGAAGGGGATTTAAACTCAAAACCCCCTTTGGTTACGCTCATAGCATTTTAAGTGCTTAATTTGCTTTTTTTTTAATATTGAAGAGGTAGTTTTCAGCTTCAAACCCCGCTTGCGGGGGGGGGGGGGTTAAACTCAAAACCCCTTTGGCTACGCTCATAGATTTTATAGTGTGTAATTTGCTTTTTTTTTTATATTGAATAAGTACTTTTTAGCTTCAAACCCCAACTGGAGTGGGGGGGGGGGGCAGTTTAAACTCAAAACCCCTTTGGCTAGGCTCATAGAGTTTTGAGTGTGTAATTTGCCTTTTTTTATATTGGAGAGGGGGTTTATCGTAAATTTTGGAGGGGGTTTTTAAAATCAAAATCTTCCTTAACTGTGCTGTTGGAATTTGGGAATTGTTGTTTGCATTTTTTTTTGTTTTGTTTTATAGAAGAGGGGGATTTAACTGCAAAAACCTCTGGTACGGGGTTTAAAACTCAAATCCCCTGGTAGGGGGTTTTAAACTCAAAACCCCCTGGTAGAAAGATTTATATCTCAAAACCCCCTGATAGGGTTTTTTTAAATCTCAAAACCCCCTGGTAGATGGTTTTTAACTCAAAACCCCCTTGGCAGTGCTGTGGTAAGTGATGATTTAGTATTAAAATCTCACCTAAAATAAACAAAATGAAAGCGAAAATCAGTCACT